TATGTTGTGCAAACGACTAATTAAAATATCCATCTTATCGTACACTTTGAGGTTGCTTATAGAAGGCTGTATGTTGCGTTTGTTTGTCTGACTCAACACACACACACACACGAGATATATACACACAGCGCCACGGTTAGATTCAACACGTCACTCAGTCGCTCACATCCTTCCCTTAGCTAGCTCACGTCGTTCGGTGTATTTTTAGCCAATATACGGGAACAGTGTACACCACAATACACTTTTGTCCCGTCACTGCCGTGCCTTCTTTTCAACCACCGGGAAGGGTACTCGCCAGTAGTATATCGCGAATACTTCGAGTCTGTTAGCGTGAGGAAGCCATTCTCGCTACACTCTATCTCCGTTTATTCCTTTAACAGCACTATGAAATTCATAGGGTATGTGAAATACTTGAGGGTTGAAGTGGCATTTTGTCGTGAGTGCTCGTACGTGCCAGAATGCAAGTAATTTACTTAGTACACTGAAAATCACTTCACAGCAACTAATCTTCCTGTAGTAAGGGTGTAAAATCCGATCTGGTAAATACAGTTACCGAAGTGAGCGATTAACCAAAACCTTTTAGAAGGTGGAGGAATGTCATTGACTATTGCATGGTAAAATCAATAAAGCTGCTCCCAGGGTTCGCTAAGGATATGCTGAAGGGCTACAACCATCATGCAGCATCAAATACATGACGCACGGACAGCTATAGCTCAGTAATTCGGTTTCCAATGCATAGAAGTTGGAGCGTCGCTTGTATCAAAGGAAAAGCGCGCTTCCCTCAATTACTTGTATCCGCCTTGGCCACGAGGTCTAAGTCCTCACATACGATACAATGGGTCACGAGCTCGAGCCAGTCACATGGTACACAGCAAAATGTTTATCTGATTGAGCCCCTGTATGACAAACTGCACTTAAAGAGTGGTACATTTAGTTGAATACTCGTAGCGTGCTTCGACTGCGACCTGTAATCCCAGTCTGGATCGCGGTTCATTTTGAACTGAACCTTGGACAATTTTGGGCGCTAGGATTGTAGCTGAAACAGACAAATGTCAGGTACTACCTTATCGGAATACTGCACTTTAACCTCGGTTCTGTTATTGGTTGTACTCAGCAGACAGACTTGGTAGAACTACGACTCTCCTTCAGAACGTGTGGAGTACTGGTTGATGCATTTACTCAAAATGCCACTGAGACGGGATCAACGACAGTCACAACAGTTGACAGTTCCTTCGGAGCTGGTAGTACAACCTAATGAAATCTGTGAAATCTGGCGTGGGGCGCAACGTTGAAGGCCAACAATGTCTAACATATATCCATTTAAAGCACATATGGAGAGTGTCCTTTCCGTAAGACAGCTCGAAGCAGTAACTCAGAGAAAGTTGACGCTGGCCTATTAAAATGCCGAATAGAATGCGTCGTTTCGATATCGTAGCAAACACCGCACAGGGTAGCTTTATATCTGGTTAAACAGATATGCTTGAATAGTTCGATCACGATCTGTTCAAGCAAGCAGAGCGAGAAAAAATGCTGATGGGAGTTGCTACGTTTAGTTCAGCCCAAGGAAGCGGCTAACTGGATCGACAACCGGAACAAGAAATGCCACCATGCCGCAAGGTATTCAAATGGAACAATGACGGCGAGAGCTGTTAGTCAGTCGCAGAGTTGCGTGAAACGCCTCAGAGTTTACGTCTCAGGTTTACGTTAAACACATAAGCTTGTTCGAAACCAACTGTAGGAAAAGAATAGTAAACGCATTTTGGCCATCATGAAAGAAGAAAACTTTTGGTGCATGTACCGAATCTCAGATGGTACAACAACCACTTTCAGAGTCTGCGCAGGGGTTTAATAACTACGCTCTAGTACACTGCACAAAAAATAATATTGTGTATTGTACTGCGGTGTGGAAGTTCGGAATAATAACTCCGATTGACAAAAGTAGTCGCAGGATTGAACCCTCCAACTACCGCCCAGTGTCTCTTTTTCCTGTATTATCAAAAATCATGGAATCTATTGGTGTCGATGCGCTGGTGTTATTTAGAAACTAATAAGGTTATTACACCCAAAGAACACGACTTTCGTCGACAGCGATCGTGCACGACGAATCTATTAACCGCGCAGAGTAGTTGGACTGCATCAGCTGACGCTGGAGAGGCCGTTGAGGTGATCTACTTGAATTGGTCGATGATGTTTGATCGTTTAGCTCATCAGGTTCTCATTGCCAATCTTCAATATTACAGCATGGGTGACCCTCTCCTAAGCTGGATCGCCAACTTTCTCCTGCAACGACAATCAGTGGTCAGAGTCCGGAGTTCCTTATCTGAACCCATACCAGTCGAGTTTGGTCTGTCCCAGGGCTCAGTTCTAGGTCCACGGTTGTTTATGGCATTCATCAATGACCCTGGACGAAAGATAGCATTCAATTTCCTGCTATTTGCTGACGAAATCAAGATATAGCGCCAGACTCAGGCGGATGCCGATCAGGATTTACTTCAATGTGACCTAGATACGATACATGATTGGTCGACCCGAAATATGTTACGGTTCAAAGTGGACAAATGCAAGGCACTCTCAATACGACACTCCTGAGTACTTACTCCTTCAAGCTAGGAACGAAAGTAATGCAGCGGTCATCCGTCGAACACGGCCTTGGCATCCTTGTTCAAAATAACTTGAGTTGTTCCAAGCAATCTGCAAAGACCTCGAAAACTGGTAACCAGCACGTCGGCTTGCTACGATGGTCTTCCGGAAAACTAGAGACCAGTATTTTCCATTAACAATGATTTATCAAGGGATAAAAGCAAGTGCATGACACGTCCCGTAGGATGGTAGCGGTGAATATGATGCAATTAAAATATGTCTGGGTCATCTATCGAACGTCTGCCGAGATGAATACTTTGATAATTAACAGCAGTGTAAAATGAGAAAAAAAATATCGCGCGTAACCATTCAGAAAGACACTGGGACGCAGTGATAGTTGAGGTAAGGAGTGAGAAAATAAAATATGGTCGCTCACTTAGGTCCATTTGATACATTAGTCCTGTTGAAAACATGCTTGGCGTAATCCACAATAGAGGAGTTTAGGTAACAAAATGTTGGGAGCTAAGAGCAATATCTAGTCGTTTTTTTGAAAACATCCAAGGTAGGAGAGGATACAACTGAGTCTGGGAGTGCGTTCCAGGGTTGGCAAACCCGAAGGGAAAAGTAAATCCGTCGACACTCTTGACGGCTATATTGTTCTTTCAACTTTAAGCAGTTACCTCTGAGCTGCGTGTTGTGGCTAAGTTTCAGCAAATGGCGGCATACGTGGTTGGGGTCACACAGTATCTGATACGCTAATATGAGATCGCCGCGCAGCCTTCGATAACGTCCGCTGAAAATTCCCAGCAACTTCAGCCTTCGGTGGTAAGAGTGATAGCGTAGGCCCTTCACGTTCTTTGTTGCTCTCCGTTGTGGTGACTCTATCGCTTCTAGGTCGCGTTTCAACCAAGGTTGCCAAGCTTGGATTTCGTACTCAACATGCGGGCGCACGTAGGAATTGAGCATCATTGGGAAGATTGATGGGTCAAATCTCCCGAATGCTCTTCGCAGCATGCCGACATGCTGGTTGCCTCTCTTCGCAGCTACCTCAGCCTGTTTTGAACAGTTGAGGTCGCTCTGTACGATCACACCAAGAGCACGTTCCTGGGAGCTATTCTGCAATTCGTTTGTCCCAAGTATGTAGGTGTAGTTATGTCTATGGCGTAATTGTACTACGCGACATTTGTCTACGTTGAACGGTAGAGCGTTTTGAACTGACCAGTTCGACACTGTGTTAAGATTGTGCTGGAGCCGTTCATGGTCATCCGGTCCTCTGATCCTTCGCCATATCTTGATATCATCAGCGAAAAATAGGAAATCAGAAGTAATCGATCTCGCCAAATCGTTAATGAACACCAAGAATAGACGGGGTCCAAGAACCGAGCCTTGTGGTACTCCACACGTCACGTCGATTGCATGAGAAAATGATTCTCGGACTCTCACCACTAGCCATCGTTCTTGTAGGATTGGATCGCCAATGCCGTAGTTCCGAAGCTTCTGAAGGAGAACTCGATGGTCTAAACGATCAAACGCTTTCAGACAGATGCTGAATGTGTAAGTTCGCCACCATGTCGAATACGCAATTCAAACCTGGCAGCCAAGGTTGAAGCACGACCCTACTGCATTGGATCAATCTCATAGTCGAGCTTTTAACTACGTCATTGGAATGTGCCACCCGCCGTACGAGCAGAGGCTGAAACCTTTGGGAGTATTCACTGGGCGGTATCGTCGACTACGAGGCGACTTGATTATGGCCTATTTGATTTTACACAATCCAAATCATGTGTGACGCTCTTTACTGAAATCAGCAGTTACACCAAACTTAGAGACCGCTCCTTGAAATTAGCAAAACAATAAGCCGACTGGGGTGCCGTGGAAACTTCTTTTCTATTCGTGCGTGTCAACCATGGAATGCTGTCCCCGAATCGGTTGTTTTTGCACCCACACTAGCCATATTTAAAAGTCGGTTGGATGACGCGCTCTGTCGCACTTACATTTGGTTACTTGATACCACTCTCCATCCTACTCCCGGGAAATACTTTGGATCTATTTCTTCGCCTGTTGAAGCTATGGAAACATTCGGACTGCAGGGCTACTGCATTACAAACGATAAATCCACTCATTTGACAGTGGAATTACTAACTTCATTATCTTCGTTAACGTTTTACGATAACCCGCCAGACTATCCAACAGGGCTAGTAAAGCAGTGCTTCTTAACCCGTATAACATCATTGTTAATTGATGGCATCGCATCGCGTCGAACCGTTACCAAGTCGAACTGAGGAGACAACAGCGTGTAAATTCCATAAACGTATAAGCATTCAATAAAGTACCTGGTGGTAATACAAAATATTAACAATTAGAAAATAGTGGTACAAAAATAGCAATAACATGGAACACCAGTGTATTAAAGGTGCCATTCACTGGTCCGTAGTGTTAGACACCGGACATTGGATAAAGTCGAATTGGAAGAGATCCGTCGCGGTCGGACGTTCGTCCGGATCGGCTGTGATACCAGCTTGGAGTAGAGCCACGGCTTCCTTGCTAGCATACGTTGGCTCGGTTGTAGTGGAGGAGGAGGCGGAAGCGGGCGAACGAGAATATTGCAATGCTTGGGGAAAGACTGTCGGTAGAGTGGGCAATTGGTTGTGACAGAGTTTGAAAAAGACTGCGTACACATCGGCCACCTCATGCCATGGCGGTTTGCCGGTGAGTAGCTCCAACAGCACACAGCAAAAGGACCAAATATCACAAGGTCGACCATAACCCGATTCCAAGTCACGACAGACCTCCGGCGCCATGTAACAGACGGTGCCGGCGGCTCCCCGAGCGGTGCTTGAGAGGGAGTGAAGCCGCAGTGAGTGACTGAAATCGCCCAGCTTCAATAGGCACTGTCCGTGGGCAGGTGATCCAGGGGAGGAATAAGGATTAGGTCCGTGACGAAGCGGACTAGATGACGTCGAGTCGGCAGCACACTTTGCGGGACCCACGAGGAATATATTGGCCGGTTTAATATCTCGATGTACAATGCCCTGAATGGGTGCAGAGAAGGTTATATACGCCGATCAAGTTAGTGAAGCAAATCGCAAAAATTACAAAAAAGATGTGCTAGGACCAAAAGCTGCATGCCATATTGTTAGAAAGAAATGTAAAGTAAGCCAAGCAGAAACCGCGCTATACCAATGCTTGCGACTAAATCTCGTACCAGATATCCTCTGGAAACCGCTATCTGATGGATCATAGGTCAAGTGACACGCTTTCTCTCGTCTCTGTTGTTATGACACACACACACAGGCTGTGAACACTACAAGCACTTTTGGAAAATACTTAGACGCCCCTGTATCCACCCAACAAATGCTGCGTTGAAACGTCACACAATGAATAAGCGTGATACGGTTGTGTCTCGGATTAACGAACTCGAGCTGAACCGATGAGTTTTATCTGTCGCGCTGGAGAATCTAGATGTTGAAGAAAACTATCCGTTCGAATAATAAGTTCAGCGGGGTGTGGTACGACAAGTGGAGCTAGAAAATTCTGTGGTCTACGGAGCTATGATAAACAGTCAGCTTTAGAGATCCAATTTGAGTGTCTCTATTTCTAAGTAGTTACGCTTAGGCCGTCATCAGTTTCAGAAGCTGAGCACTATAAGTCAACCGGTTAACGTATGTTACTAATAGCTAAGTAATAAACAGTGTCAAGCATCTATTGAATCAGGAACATTTAGACGCTCTTAAAGAACTCAAGTGAAGCGATAATATACTGCTGTCTAGACCGGATAAAGGAACCAGGATCATTCTGATGAATAGATCGGACTACATCAACAAAATGTAAGCCATTCTTTCTGATGCGTTAACAGTTTGTGGAATGGAGAATAAGGATGACAAGACACAACCATCGAGGGATCCATAACAAAACTTCCACCATGCTTAAAGAAGGAGAATGTAATCGACTCTGACATATTCGAAAACAGACCGAGTGGAAGAGTGACTGCAACACTTTATGGTCTACCCAAAGTACATAACGAAGGGAAACCGCTAAGGCTGATACTAGATATGTGTAACCCACCGTAGCAATCAACGGCAAAAGGGATCGTCAAAACGATGGAAACAGTAAAAAAAATCATAGCCAGATTCAGCCTAAAGGACACCATTGATTTTCATGACTCAGTGAAACAACTTCAGTTAGCCGCACGGAAGATGTTCTTCTTAGATGTGTTGTCTCTTCTCACCAACGTTCCATTGCAGGATACCACAGACTATCCGTGCGAGCTCATCCAGTTGCAGAACATTGACATTGGTATCCCACTAGACCGATTGAGACAACTGCTACTGATGTGTACGAAGAACATTGTTTCAGTTTAACGGAACGCTATATCGATAAAGAGACGGGGTGGCCATGGGTTCACTGTTAGTGCCTTTACATGCGGACATCTTCATGAGTAAATTAGAGGGCAACCAGCTGAATGAATCTATCAACAGCTTGGTGTATTACGATGAATGTGTTGATGACATATTTTGCATCGCGGGTGATGAAGTGTGCGCCGATGATCCATTGGCCCACTTTAGCTCTGAACACAGTAACACAACTTTCACTATGGAGCTAGAACGAAACGATTCGATAACATTTTTAGATGTTCAAATCAATAGAGCATCAGACGGGTCGATGCGGAGGAGAGTGCACAGAAAGAAAGCTAGAATGGGCAGTAGGTCCACTTCGCTATCTTTGTTCCGACAAATCAGAAACGAAATCTCGTCCATTGTCTAGCGGAAAGAGCGAAGAGGATGTGTACAGAAGATATGCTTTCAGATGAGCTGAGCTCTATCCGAAGCGTGTTCGAGAGTAATGGAGTCCAGAGGTACATGGAACCGCGAGTGCCATAGCTAAAACCCATTTCCGCGGAGAGACGGAGAATGTACTTATCGTTACCGTTTACATGTGACACGATGGCAGAACAGGTCACACGAAGGCTTCCCATAGCAACAGCGGGTACGTAGTTTGCTGCTAATCTGCCTTAACACCGATGGTGTGCTAGCAGCTCCAGGACAGTACATCTCGGTCGCAGATTTTCTACTACATGTACAATTTCTCTTGCTCGTGTCGAGCAAGGTATATTGGGAAGACGACCAGGCGTGTGCACGTTAAGGCTCGAGAGCACTGCCCAGATTGGCTCTACAGCGGCGTGAGGAAGAAAGCAACGAGTGCAGTGTAGCCGAAGCTAGTAGACTGCGATCACCAAATAAGTTCGCATGACTCATTCATACCAATCTACTATGAACCCGAAGGTTAAACATGAGCAGTCAGCTGCCGTCTGCTATCCACAGCAGAGGCGATGGTAATTCGGCTCCATAACCCGGACCTATGTGCACACAAAAACTCGTCCAAACTCTTCCATTACCTTGGCCACGGGTCAGCTTGACTAAAAATGGCGGTCATGACACCACACTGGAGTTCACATCAACCAGACCAATCACGTAGTCTTATCGATAAGATAATTTGCTTCAGTGACTTATCGCGTTAAAATCGCATGCGTCCATTCTAGCTTGCTGTTTTTGTGGTTGCTTTAGCTTAAGGATGAAACTCTGAAAAGAAGCTTGTTCGATAATTTTTGTTTCTTTATGGTTTGCGTCATCCGGTTTCGGATTTGCCTGTCACTGTGGCCAGCCACAGCTCCCCTGCGCCTACAGAGGGACCATGGGTGGCTTGCGCTGCACCACACACTCCATATCCAGTGTAAACCCGAAGGAATAAGACCGGGAGGCATGTGGATGGGAGCCACATTTCATCAACGGAGCCAGCCCACACTCCTTCACAGGCAAACACAAGCACGCTGCATTTGGGGAATCAAGCGCACGCAAGGCGGTGGCTGGACCGTAGTCCGCTCCACACTGAGTGCATGGAACCACTATTTGTTCCTAACACGGCCACCAGGGCGGTGCACCCCGTCCCGTCCAGTAAAGACCAACTGTCTCCTGGAGTCAGTATGAACGAAGTAGTGGGTAATAGACAGGTAGGCACCTTGTCAACATGCACATCAAGCGCAGCCACACCGGGGATATCAAGCAACAGCCAATTACTTGAAAGGACAAGATGAAATGGAGTAAATCGGAGAATGCATACAGGTACAGTGACATAACTCTTCACTGAATGAGCGTATAAAAATGATTACGAAGGAATCTGCGATAAGTTCAAGAGATCAGACAATATATTTTAAGGAAATGCCACAAACGCGATAATGTTATCGAAGTTAACTGCAATTAGCTAAAGCGACCTGTGCAGCTTAATAGATAGTTCAGGTAGACGTGAATATGAGAAAGATAAGCATTAGGACAAGATTGCACACCCACCACCTGAAATAAATAGACTTAGCATGCAAGCAGGCTGTTAGTAAATCGAATGCAGCGTACCTACAAACGCTACGCCGGTTCTGCCTACGTTCTCTGCAGGACCCTTCGGTGGTGGTCCCGAATGGCCTGGCTCATGGCTCACCAGGCCTGCATAACTCAGGCACTAGCAACCGCATGTGCTACAGCACCATGCGCTCGATGTCGATGGAGTACATACCCATCGGCGCTTGCCGCTTCCGCACTTACCGCTTCTTCTCTGCATGCATGAGGTCTTTCTCCCACACTTCGGCAACTGCCTTCGTGATCAGATCGCGCCATGCACGCAGATTCCCATGACCTGCAATCAAGATTAGAAAGTAGGAGGCTCACTTTGATCATATCCTGGTAACGTAACTTTGGCTTCCCCACATGCCGCTTCCCAAAACTCAGCTGCCCATATAATAATCGCTTCGGTATCCGAGTCGAATTCATACGGGGTAACATGACCTAGCCACCTCAGGTGTCTCAGCAAAAGTATGCAGTCCACTGCATACATTCCACTTTGACACAACACTTTTGTGTCCGCAACTCTGTCACGCCATCAGATGCGCAGAATCCGTCGCAAACACTGTTGATGGAACCGCTCGAGATATCGCACATCCCGCCGGTACATCGTCCACGTTTCACTGCCGTTTAGAAGAACGGACAACACCATGGATATATATATATATATATATATATATATATATATATATATATATATATATATATATACGCGATAGAACCCATGGTGTACGGAGGCTTATTGTGACTAGATCCTGACAGATCGTTGACCCGATGCTCCCAAAGTGCTGTTGGCTCATGTCCTGAACGCCTTGTGGCGACCGGTGAGTGGGAGTTGGCTTACATCATTCTTCTAACTAAGATCCAGGACACACAACTGCGCATGAAACGGTCCACTGACGCGAGGAACTCGGCCCGCTGCCATTCGGGTGCATCCTTTATCGGAGGTTTAGGCTGAGGACCCGAGCCGTTTTCCTGTCAGGTGTGGACGCCATGGTAGTATCCTAATCCAAATCCAAACTATGAATTAGGTCAATAGTAATAACTCATGCTGCATCGGTCGTCGCGCAGTTGCATTAGCAAGAGGGTCGCCTTATATGCAGCATACAGCGGGGTGGATAAGCGAAAATTTGCTACCGCTGTCACCTCCATTCTTCTTTCTTCCTCTGCATATACACTCCCGTCCCCATTTCACCTAACCCACTACTTCCTCCAACCCATGTAGCCACCACCCATGCGACTGCCTACTAACGCAGTCGTATGCCTCTGCACAAAGCGATCAACATCATATGTTGGAAGGTATGCACCTTACTCGACTGGCACACGAGTGAGTGACCGGAGCGAAGCCTTGCGCTGGTTGCAATGAAACTCGTGCGATACGGGATAGATATTGCTGCACTCAGCGCGAATCAGCTCGCTGACCAAGGCAAGCTGCATGAAGCTGGTACCAGCTAAACGTTCCACTGGGTAGGGAACACCACCACAGCACCACGTGAACATTGGATCGGATTTGCACTATCCGATAGCCTAAATGGCCAGCTGGCGGCAGAGCCGACTGACATCAGCGCACGACTGATGACTCTCCGTTTGCGACTTGGAATAGGTAAGTTTGCCATTTTTATTAGCACGCATGTGTCATCCGGATGACCTGAGGGATCAGTTCTACACTCAGTTACCCTCCGTGATACGGTCTGTGCCGAAGAGTGATCAACCATCCTTATTGTGTGACTTCAACGCGCGCGTTGGGCGTGATGCTTCTGTGTGGACAGGCGTAATAGGTCCATATGGTATTGGCACAGCCAAACGGAACCGTGACCGGCTGCTCTCACGTTGCCGCACTTATGGCCTGACGAGCACGAGCACACAGTTTGCACTGCGTGCCAGTGCCACGCACGGAGTGGCCACGCTGATCTGCTCGACCATGTCGTCGTACGCCAGTGTGACATGCGTGAAGTGCGCATGACACGTGTACTGCATCGAGCTGAGTGTGGAACTGAACGCAAGTTGCTACAGACCAAATTGTAGATATACGCTCCTAAATCTAGGTATTGCACTCCTGTCGTCAACCGGCGGAAATGTACCGTTCTTTCCCTAGGTACTTCTAAGAAGTGGATGGAGCTGGAGAAAGCGATGGCTACCCACCTTGTTGATATTGAATCCACAGACTCAGGTAGGGACTTGTGGCACCACATTCGAGAACTGGTGGCTGCTGTTGCCGAAGAAACGATTGACCGCGCAAACTGTAAGCGTCCCGATTGGTTTGATGACAACCGTGCGACGATTAGCGCATTGGTGTCCGCTACACATGTGGCGGACCCTGAAGACTGGGAGAACGCGAGTCATCTTTGCCAACCTCGACGGCGATTGACTCTAGAGCTCCGTCTCATCAAGAATGCATGGACGGAAATGCTGTACCGAATGCCGACAACAAGGAATTCTTTGACTCCTAGAAGGCGGTGTATGTACCAACGTTGCAGCCGCTGAGGACGCTACTCGATCCTGTTTCAGGCGCTGCCTGTAACCAGATAGCAGACATAATGCAGATCCTGCGAAAACACTTTGATTATCTCTACAACAGCCGTTCAGAGATTGACTGGTCTGTTGCACGGGCTGCAACAACAATAATATGTGTTACCGATACATTGACACTGGATGAGAGGCAGAGAGCACTTGCTCAGCTAAGAAACAGCAAGTGCCCCGGTGCCGACGAGATCCTACTTGAAGTATTAAAACACAGCAATCTGCGTTGGTAAATGCACTGCACCACTTGGTGCAACGCGTGTGGATTGAAGAGGAAGTGCCAGCTGAGCTGAAAGACACCCTTGTGCTACCACTGTACAAGGGCAAAGGGAGCAAGCAATGCTGTACGAATTATCGTGCCATCAACTTGCTGAGTTGTGTGGGCAAGGTGATTGCCCGAATCCTGCTCAACCGCCTCGTCAGTCAGGTTGTGGAACCTAAAGTGCGGAAGAGCAGTGTGAATTCCACTCGAGCCTCAGCACTATAGATCTGGTGTTGGCGGTTCGTCAGCTGCAGGAGTAATGCAGTGAGTGACACTAGCCATTGTGCTCGCAGTTTATAGACTTCACCAAGGTATTCGACATGATGAAGCGCGAGGAATTGTGGCTGGTATCGGGTAAGTTTGGTTGCCCGAGCAAGTTTGTAAGTTTAATTGAATGTCTGCACAGTGGCATGCAGGCGAGGGTGCAGGTGAGTGGACAGAACTCGGATGAATTTGCATTTATGTCTGGTGTGAAGCAAGGCTGTGTCTTAGCACCTGTCTTGTTTCATATTTATCTTCATGCCATGATGTCTTGTGCTTGTGATGCCGCTTGTGCTTATGGTGTTCGTGAGCAGCACGGTATCGATGGGTTCCTGAACACACGTGGTTTCAGTGCGAGAACCCTAATCTGTGAGACAACTATCTGTATGTTGCTGTTCGCTGATGACTATGCGTGGTTTGCACACAGCGCGGGTGAGTTGCAGCACATGGATAGTGCTCTGGCTTCAACAGCGGCCACATTTGGGCTCACCAATAACCCAAGCAAGACTGTTATATATTTCCAGCCCACAGCAGAAATGTAATCCGTATGTTTGGCGCGAATCCATATCGGTGATGATGTCTTGGTAATCACTGCGAGATTTCGCCACCTGGATGGTTTACTTTCTACCGATCTGCAGATGACGAGCGAACTAGATTTCCGCATATCGAAAGCGGCTGCTGCGCTTGGAATGTTGGAAAAAGGTGTATAGAACAAGCACCAGCTTACTATTGAAACGAAGCTGCTGGCATACAAGTCGATGGTGCTGTCTGTTCTTCTATACGGCAGCGATACCTGGATTAGGTACCTGAACGACGTCATATATGTGGAGTGGTTTCATCAACAGTGTGTGCGACGGATTCTGCGCATCGGCTGGCGCGTCAGTGTTGCAGACACGGAAGTGCTGCGCCGCAGTGGCATGTATGCACTGGACTACATACTTCTGCTGCGGAACCTGTGGTGGCTGGGGCATATCAACTGCATGGGTTAGACCCGGATACCGAAACAGCTGCTTGATGGCCAACTGCGTGTAGGGAAGCGGCACATGGGAAAACCGAAGTTACTAGGATATGATCAATGCGAGTTTATCATGAACTATTATTGATTTCAGAGGTGGGGAAACAATGGCCGTTGATCGGCGCCAATGGCGCGAGCTGATCAAGAGGGCAATTACACAGGTACAGGAGAAGGCATTATTGCACGCGGAGGAGAAACGTAGGGTACGGAAGTGACAGGCGCCGATGGCTCCTAAACCATCGACGTCGAGCTCATGGTACACATGCGGTCGCGAGTGTCTGAGTCAAACGGGGTTTGGTAAGCCACCACCTTGGCCACGCGGAACCAGCAAACAAAAGGCAAAAGACTCACCTGATTATCTAAACATAATCAACGCAGCGATTAGTATTGCGCTGCATCGGCTTCCATTCGATTTAATGACCCAGAACAATCAGGCGGTTGATGTGGTACGTGTGCCGCACCTTCGCTGCAGTTGGCCTGTACTTGTGTCTGCGTGTTGAGTTTCTTGCATTTCAGTGGTAAGTGTTGTTTGATATCCCCCATGTAGTTGCGCTTGATGTGAATGTTGGCAAGATGTCTACATGTCTAGTATCTACCACCTCGTCTATACTGCCTCCAGGAGACAGTTGGTCGTTGCTGGAGGGGATGGGGTGCACGGTCCTTGTGGTCCTGCTAAGCTTAAAGATTGGTTCCATGCATCCAGTTTGGAACGGGCTATGGCCAAACCACCGCCTTGTGTACGTCTGATACGCATGCTTTTCGAATTAGGCATGAATGCTTCTGCTCTGCTTGCCGAAGCAGTGTGGGCGAGCCCCGTTGCTAAAACCTTGCTCCCATCTACATGCCACCCGTTGGCTTAGGGGTAGCGGTCACAACTAACACCCCAATGGTCCAGGGTTCGATGCCTGTTATCCCTACCTGATGACATGGAATAACATCGAAACGCGTCATAGGAGTGCAGTGTTTTCGGGCGCGCAACACCAAATTTCTATTTGCATCAGCTGCGGTCCTCGTGATCGAAAGACCAAAGTTTATTACAACGGGAATCGCGGTCAACAGTGAGACTGCGTGTCTCAATCCATCCACATAGCGTGTACTTCAAAATGACCCTCAAAAGCCTCCCGGACTTATTCCTTTGAGTTTACACTGGATATGGGGTGTGTGTGGATGGAGATGTGGGCGGTCCAGTGCAAGTCACCCATGGTCGGTCTGTAAGCGTCCTGTGGTTATCCAATGGAGGTCACGGTGACAGGTAAATTCCCAACCGAATGCCGCCAAACTTATATGTGTGTGGGTATCAAACAGTTCTGAATCCCACCTACTGCTGAATTCCAACTACGTGACATCCACCTTCCCACGTTGCAGCCAGTTTGCACAATTCTGGCTTTAGTCGCCGGCTGAGAGATGTACGATGGGAATTAGTTCGTCATTTTACAAGATTGAACACATCTTACAAGCCCTGACACAAAAGGGCCATAGAGCAGCTAACAAGTGTTGTGCTAGAGCGAGACGTAGGACCATCGGATGTACAGCTTAGTGGAATATGCCCAGGAATAGACGTAGACATTATTCTGCTAGATCTTTCCCTGAACATACTGTCGTAGGTATAGTCAGTAGCTAGACGCATGGGGCGGTAATTTCAAGATCGGGCGCGTCTACTTTCGATCCATCCAAAAAATTTCTCGTTTGTTTCAATAACACAAGCGCAGTGGTACGGTAGTACTTTGTTCCAAGCTGAGTGAGTCGGTGGTGATTTTAAACACCACGCTATATAATTTTCGGGGCAACATTACACATAAGACAGCTAACACGGATAGTATGTTAGGTCAAATGAGGCGATCACTCACTAAAAAATGCACACTACGAACTGTTTACGCGTGAAGAGGTTGAAGTTGAAGAAATTTAAATAATACTTCGTGTAACCCGGCTTATGATAAACGTAACGAAGAAATGGTACCTTCGGCCATTTTTACAAACAAAGTGTTACACGACCCGATTGCCGTGGTAGGCTCACTGCTCAGCAGCACAATAAGTTGAAGCTATTCGTAGTAGCCACATCTGTCGGAAGAAATGCTTCTCGCGCTTCGTAAGAACAGTTGGAGATGACACGTTTAGTGCAAGTTAAATCCTCAGAATCCACGACATGCGAATGCAGGGAGGGTTACATTAGCCGGTAACTCGGTGATGGTTGGCCAAAATTCCTCTATGCTGTGATGCGGCCGAGATAACCAGTTGTGCTATGCGGTCGTTTCGTTCATGGGTACCAGTCAATAGCTGTGGGTCATTGATCCATCCATGGGACAGAATTTTGGAACTTGTAATACCAATGAAGCAAACAAATATTAGAAGTGTACTGAGATTTATCACGGTCGACAGAGCGCTGTACAACGCACAACGTTTATGGACCGGGTGACCAACGGGTAAGTCAACGGAATTGCGATTTTGTTTAATTTCCACACTACTGACTAGGTAAAAGTAGAATAATGGTGGCCCAGAATGTACTCACGCGCTCGTGCAGGTACGCGATCGCTCGTGCCAAGTCCCGAGCATATCGACGTACGAGGGCTTCGGACGGATGCTCCCTGGCAATGTCAGCCAAAGTTCCGGCGTTGCACAACTCGGTAAACAGACGAAGCACTTTGGGTGTCCGTTCGTCTGCGCCTAGGAAGCGGACCAAAGCAGGGTGGGACAGACTGCCCAGCAGATCGCATTCGCGACGAAATGCGTTCAAACGCTCCATAGCATCGCGGTGTTTGCCATCATCCACCATGATACCTTTAGATTCCCAAGCGTAATCGTACAAGACTTCCTTCACAGCCATCATTTCTTGTGTTTGCAAATTGTAGGCTTGGAACACCTTGCCTGTTACGCCTAAACAAAAGTGGAAGGGGTGAGAGCGAAGAGGTAACATCGATCATGATAACTAACTTGAGCACATCACATGGAACATCAGAATAGATAGACAAAACACACCACAGGTACTCAGTGTTGTCTTGAACCCCACCGTCATGGCATCCGGGTCATGCTAGAGCCAAACACGATTGAATTGTGGATGAGTGCTAGTAAATCTCACTCCGGAGGTTCACAACAACGACCTGGTTCCTGAGGGTTGCAAAGCCTGTTCACAAATTCTAAAGGAGAATAACATTGGGTTCTGCTGAAGTAGGTAAGTTTCATTTGTGTAATGAACAAATGTGGGTAAATGCAACCACTGTATGAGAAACGGAGGGGAGTAGGATCAAGCTTGAGACAACTATTCGTGCTACTTCAACCAGATTTGTATGCTCTATGTAATCTATTTGCTGCCCAATATATCGTCCCATAATTAAGGTACAAATGGCTCTAGACATCAAAGTGACCAAAGCTTGAAAAGGCCCGCGAAATGGAACGAAGTGAAAAAAGCGACTCATATTGTATAACCCCGTTAAATCGACCAGCAAGGATTTACATGCAAAGCGGATGCGATAGAGAAAGGACGCGTGTGAGCAGGCAGTTTAAACATTCAGGATAAGGCTGGCTTGCCAAACGACATGTCTGACAGCTGGGCGAGAAAGCCGATTGCCAACGCTGGCGCGTTTGCCACCAATCGTGCTTGGGAAAGACCCTGCGAGCATGTTACCACGGCCCAGCCGAAAGCTGATGAAATCGCGCGTCAAACATTACGAGCGTTGCCGTACGTTGCGTAGGCGGAAGAAGACTGGAGTGCCCGAGCAACACGGTGAACTGGACAGATGGAGCGGACAAGTATGTGTGGAGCGTGGGCGTACAGTCAAATCCGCATTGTGATACCGACATATAAATATGAGCGTTCTTTGCCCTAATACAACTCTGGTCTGCTGAGTATTCTTCTGTCTTCCTTCAGGTCAGGTTTGCAAAGGCGCAGATTTAGCAGCAGGCGTGAATCAACCGGTCGATTGCAGGGCAGTGTTATAACAATGGCGACGCGAGTTCAATCGAACGCAGAATGGCAGTCAGCTTTGAACAATTGCAGGCACTTTTGCAGGAGCAGCAGACGCAGTTCGAAAAGTCGCAGAGGCAGTTGATGGAAGTGCTGTCACAAAAATTAAATATGCAAGTAGAATGGGAACTGGAACTGAAGCTGACATCGCAAGAAATTGTTTCACAATGTCAGAGATTGCTCAAATTGAATCCTGCTGCAAATGTGGTTGCAAATTCGGAAGCTATGGAGGAGCAAAACTTCTGCCACACTGCCACTTCAAAATCAGATGTGCCCATCAGACTTAAGGATGCGACGATAGAAATCAATGGCAGCCAGATTACACGGATGAATAGACGCCACGAATCAATGCCCCAACCTGGTCCAGAATGCTGCAGAATCACCAGTGCTGCCCTGAACCTCAGGCCAGTTACTAAACCAGTATCCAGAGCAAAACGCCTTGTGCCAATCAGGAAAGAAAAGCATTGCAGTTGTCATGCGGAGAAAAGTCGGACAGACAGCGTGCGTCATTTCAGAATTCGTGACAGGGGTTACGCACGAGAGTACCGAGGACCGAAGTGGTGGTCAACAGGAAGGATGATCCGCACAAATGGTGCAGTCAATTACCAACTAACGGTTGGAAACAAGAAATGGATCAGACACGCAGATCGACGGAGACCGAACCACGGAAAAACACAACGGCCCGCAGACAACATATGTCAAAGAAGGAGAAGAAAACCGGACGCCAAGCCAGTCTTTAGACCAAGACGCCCGGTGCCCTACGCAACCCAGCCTTTAGTGGAAGCCGAGTTAAACCGACTACAATCTGAAGGGATAATCGAACGAGTTCACTATTCCGAATGGGCAGCACCTATCGTGGTGGTAAAGAAAGGAAACGGTAAAGTCCGTATTTGTGCTCATTTCTCGACAGGTTTGAATTCTGTGTCGGAAGATCACCAGTATCCCCTGCCGGTACCAGAAGACTTGTTCAGCAAACTCAATGAGGGGAAATGTTTTGCAAAACTTCACCTAGCTGATGCGTATTTGCAAATCCCAGTTACCCATCAGTGCAGAACATTGCTGACAGTAAATACCCACCTCGAACTTTTTCAGTACAACCGACTGCCGTTCGGAGTAAAAACCGCACCGGCCATTTTTCAACAAATAATGGATACCCTGCTGAGTGATATCCCAAATATAGCAGTATACCTGGACGATGCGTTGATTATGGGCTCAGATCCGCAAGACTTGATACAGACACTGGAGAGAGTGATTTCGCGTCTCCAGGAAGCTGGATTCCGATTACGGGCTGAAAAATGTGAGTTCCTATTAGAAAGTGTCAAATTTCTTGGGTTTATCATCGACAAACATGGCCGGCGCCCGGATCCCGTCAATATTGAAGCCATCAAAAAGATGAAGCCACCAGAAGACCTTGCAGAGTTCCGCTCGTTTCTTGGGCTCGTTAGCCATTACAGTGCTTTCCTACCAAGCCTTCACCAAACCAGAGGTCCACTGAACCTGCTACTGACAAAAGACAAGGGTTGGAAATGGACAAAGGAGTGCCAGCAGTCTTTTGACGGAATCAAAGCAGCTCTCGCCTCTGATCTACTCTGGACTCACTTCAATCCGAATTTCAAAAATGTTGTTGCTACGGATGCTTCCAATTATGGTGTCGGCGCAGTTATTTCCCACGCTTTTCCGCATGAGGGAGAGATGGCTATCGCGCACACAGCACGGTCCCTAACGCTAGCTGAAAAGAACTATAGCCAGATAGAGAAGGAAGCGATTGCGATTGTTTTCGCAATGAAACAGTTCCATAAGATGCTGTATGGCAGACCTTTCACGCTCCTGACTAACCACAAGCCACTTCTGTCGATATTCGGGTCAAAGAAAGGAATTCCAGTTTTTACGGCAAACCGATTGCAACGATGAGCGACCATACTACTGGCCTACGATTTTAGTATACAGTATAAACCGACGCACCTAATCGGTCAATCAGATGCCCTGTCTCGTCTTATCAGTTAACACTCAAAGGAGAATGATGACTGTGTGATTGCAGCTATCAGTTTCGAAGCAGAAGTCCAACGAATCCTGGCTGATAATGTGAGCAGACTACCAGTAACAACCGACACTATTCGTATGGAGACCTCACGGGACAGAATCTTGGAGAAAGCGATGCAGTGTGTACGAACATGTTGGCCAAATAGAGACATACCTATGGAGTTGCGGCCGTTTTACCATCGACGTGGATCCCTGTCAGTCGTGGACAATTGTCTGATGTTTGGAGATCGAGTGGTGGTGCCAAGAAAATTGCAGAGGCAAATATTGCAGCAGTTCCACACAGGGCACCCTGGTACCAGCCGCATGAAAGCCTTAGCACGCAGCTTTGTTTACTGGCCAGAAATGGATTCGGAAATTGAAAGGTTTTGCCAACAGGGTGAATCTTGTCAACTTGCAGCGAAGGCTCCTCCCAAGTGTCAGTGGCAACCTTGGCCTAAGGCAGAGAAACCGTGGCAACGAATACACTTAGACTATGCAGGACCAATCCATGGCCAATCCTATCTCGTTTTGGTTGACTCATTCACCAAGTGGCCTGATGTGATTCCGGTAAACTATCGGACTGCACATCACACTGTCAACGAGCTGGAGAAGCTGTTCCGATATTTCGGCCTGCCAGAGGTGTTAGTGACAGACAATGGAACATAATTTACCTCGCATTCTTTTTGCGAGTGGTGCAAGGAAAAGGGAATACAGCAGATGTTTTCACCATCATATCATCCGTAATCAAACGGACAGTCGGAAAGATTCGTGGATACGTTCAAACGTGCATTCTGTAAAGCAGGGCAAAGAAGGGCTTCACAGGATGCAATTCAAACTTTCCTATGTATGTATCGTAATGATCCGAAACCAAACTCCCCTGATGGGAAAGCCCCCACAGAAGTACTATTTGGAAGAAAGATTCGGACGTTGTTCGATAATCTTTTACCAAGAAGAAAGCACGGCAACAGTCACCTGGAGGAAGATTGCAAAACCAAACTCTGTAACGTCAATGTTGGTGACATGGTTTACGCCCGGGATTTTCGAAGGCCGAAGGGGTGGTCGAGCGGAACTGTTATCGGCAGGATAGGCAGAGTTATCTACGAGGTGATGGTTGGACGTGAGAAATGGATTAGGCACATCAATCAGTTGAGACCGAATCATGGCAAAACCCAAGGTCCCTAAGAACCACCAACTTTACATTGGGACATCCTACTAGACACGTTCGGGCTGGAAGCTGAGGGTCAGCAACCAGGTAAGACGAAACAAATGCCGCAGAAATCAGATTCACAATGCAGGCCTGCTAGGAAGCGGAGAAGACCACAACGACTGAAAATCAATCCCCGGGCGAAAAGCTACGAACATAATCAGGTTCGAAAGGTGTGTAAGCTGACTCAATTCGGAAAGGGAGGTGACAGCTGGGCGAGAAAGCCGATTGCCAACGCTGGCGCGTTTGCCACCAATCGTGCTTGGGAAAGACCCTGCGAGCGTGTTACCACGGCCCAGCCGAAAGCTGATGAAATCGCGCGTCAGACATCACGAGCGTTGCCGTACGTTGCGTAGGCGGAAGAAGACTGGAGTGCCCGAGCAACACGGTGAACTGGACAGATGGAGCGGACAAGTGTGTGTTGAATACTGCCTCTTGAATACGTCTAGTTCTAACAATGTGATACCAATTCTGCTAGTCGGATGAAGGAACGAGACTCAGAATTATTTCTCGCACAGCACGGTAACTGACAAATCTCGAAGTCTGTAGGTTCTCGGAACTTAGCCGCGAACGATTTAATTCACGCGAGTCGAACGTATTCCTAGGCCGAAAGCAAAGTTTCTACGCACGATTTCCCAACCCAAGAAGAATCAAGAACAAGACAAGCCTTTTTGCCACAGGCGCTTTTAC